AGAATATTTGTAGCTTGAGTGGATGATCTTGATGGTGTCACGTTCTGTAAACTGCTCAGTTTAACCGTTTATTGTTTAGTTTCTAGACAAAATTAAGATCGGCAAGTATCAATTATGGGTTCTTCAATAAATTGAGTATGGAATATGAGGATTTCGTTACAAATATTCCTGAAAAATTCATCAGTAAATTCATAAAACTCGTTTTATTTCTATCAGCTAATTCGAGTTAGTCAATTAACACTCATGATTCGATTTAAACTTCCTATTTTTTGTCAGTTAAGAATATAAATGATATTGATAACCAGATAGCTTGAAAAAGACTACTTTTCTTTTACTCATAAACGAATTGTCATTCAACCTAGTAGACTGATACAAGTATGCAAGCTTATATAGATAAGCAAGTCAATATCCAGTCAGTTATCACTAAATTAACTTGGACCCCATCGGTCATCACCATCTGAACTAAGGGTCTTTCAGCTTGTTTTGTAAAATAGTCGCTTACATGACTGCTTGTAAAATGTATATGGGGAATAAACAGGCATCTTATTTGGTGTTAGATACCTGAAGACAAATAGCATGGAGTACTAGACTTAATTTTTGTGTTTGTTGACACATGTGACCAAGGAGTGTCTAGAACTTCGGAGAAGCTAATAAACGCTAAGTAAAGTGAACACTGGTCAACGTGCACTGAAGTTAAAGATATTGTCGTTGGACCTTTTGGACCTCCACAGACATCATTTAGTCCTGGATTATATACACCGATTGGCCACCAGCATCAAGACCTAAGTGATAACCTAACTCTGTTGATGCTTCGGTTAGGCAAACTTCTTTTAACGGTATTTTTACCACACTACTCCAGTTTGTCATGTTGGACTTAATTTGATTACTTTATGTAATTTTCTCAAAATTATTTCCATCAGTAAACCTTGTTTCGGATACTTTTCGGATCATGTATACCATCTATGATTTATTACAAATATATTTGTAATGAGTGTTTACACAAAATACTATTTACTTTTAGTAATATTCCTCGGGAAATTATGGGCTATGATCACACCACTTGTTAGAATTATTTGTTCCCCCTTTTACTGATGGAATTAATAAACATGTATTTTTTTTATTTTGCAGGTTTGCAATCATTTTTCCCCAGTACTATGTTCAATGTTCTTAACAGTTTTACTGAGTCATCTTTGTTGCATGTGTTAGGTGTGACTTGTATGAACATGAATTCAGTCAACAGGTTCAGGTATATATAGCCGACGAAACGTGGGTTCTAGATTCCTCTGTCAGCCACAACAAATTAAATTAAAATAATAACTAGTCAGGCAATGTCGAGGCATCTGTATGGGAGCCTATATGACAACGGTGGTCAATCAACCCGACCTAGTATAACAACGGAGAATAACAAGTATATCAAAAAATTGTATTAAGTGATACTCATTGCACAAAAAGTGACTACCGTGCCTCAGTGGATAACTCTGGCATTTGAAGCGATGAGTACTGGGTTCAAGTCTCCATAGGAACAATATCACTCGCTAAGAGGCAGGTGAATCCAACTGACGTGTCCCAAATAGGACGGAACGTGAGTCCTGGATTACACAGTTAGTCACCAAGATGAATGCGAAAATACTGTCTAACAAAATACTAACGAAAAGTCATTGTGAATAAACATTCATTACAAATATATTTACTTTCTGAAGGTAGCATTTATCACGGACTGATATCAGTAGGAGAATCATTGAAAATCTGTAAGCACTGGGTGTTTCGTCCTAGTATGGGACTCCTCAGCAGTTCGGCCCAGTTAGGGATCAAACGCAGCACCTTCAGCTTCCATATATACATACTTATGATGAACCGATTCTCTCCACAGTGCACAAATGATTTATGGATATAACCATTTACGCTACTTACGGTGTTCCTAATTAACAGTAGGATCATTCGTCTTCGCAGATCACACAGTATCTTGTGTTCTCGAAAACTTATAAAAACAACGAATGAAGCACGTGCTTCTTCCTTAAAGAAGCATGTAGAAAAGGACCATTCACTTTTATGACAGTTGTTTGTAATGCTTTCAGGTAATTATTTCGTCTTGATCTACAAAGAGAACATGACAATCTTGAAAAGATGGTGTTTATGACTGATAAATAAACGCAGTGCACAGAGTGAATACATAAGGCATTGGGTTACTGGAAAGTAACCAATTTCATGTTGTCTAACCAAATTCTGCAAATCATTTTGTAACGTGGTTGATATTCCATGTTAGAGGAGGGCTCATGATGGCAAAACCAAGACATCAGTGAATGAAGTCCCTAACCGTTGGTCTGAGTCGTGTGGGGAGATGTGTACCACCTGGCCTAGGTGTTCAAGAGAATAGGAACCAGTGGTTGAGGACTGTTGGTGATACTGCTGAAAATCGGCCGTAATGGCGCGGATGTATGCACTCCTTGACATCTTAGAAAGCTTGAATATTCGTGCTAACCGTTATCTCTCTCATCCAGCCTTGTCTGCTTTGATATCAATCTTTTTCTGTCTAGTTTTCTGTGTAGTACTGCAAAATGTGGCAACTTGTGCCGATGAACTTTTGTACGAGGTTCGACGTTGATTTTGTCAATCAATGTGGTCAACATCACGATGCACTCTGATTGATGTTAGACGAAACCGGGAATAAGACCTACTTGACTTAGGTTTCAGGCTTGTTGGCACTGGTCAGCAACCTTAAAATAACTGCTGCCTCCTCCAACATTTGAATTCGTATTACCTAATGCTGCAGTGACAGATGCTACCACTGACCGAATTCTAATGATTATTGTGCCGTATAACTACCAGAATACATGCATTGCGAAATATGTCAGAGTGGATAATAATGAGGCCTCACATTTATTGACAGAAATTTACTGGTTGCCTGTTAATCTCTTTGTTATTTTTGTTCGACTAATCGTTATTCGACCAGATTGTGAATCTTTCACCTTGGTTATCCTTTTACACGTACATGAGTGGGTGCACTATCTCATTTCGGATTTTTGAGTTTGGACATCGATAGACAAGACCACCCACTAGGGTGTGTAATATTCACCAGTTGATCATACTAAATCGATTTTATCAACTCTTGAGTTAGGTATCCAGTCTGGTGTGCAGTTAACCTCGAAATTATTAATCAGGTCTCCACATGCGGTTTATACATACAAAATGTCATCACTCATACGAATGACTGATCGTCAAAGAAATGAACTGGACTCAGTCACTTCGAGGAAAACATTCGTGTTCGATTATTGCCTCAGCATATTTTGTTTTACTGGGGGTGGTAATTTGGTTCTCCTCCGGCGTTTATATCGGAAATGAACTATTTAATCAGGTGATTCGCATATAAACATTTCAAAACCTATTAGAAAGATCAAATTTATGGAGACGGTGAACAGTTTAAGTTAACAAGAGAACTTGATGAACTTACAATGTCACACTAGTGATTACAGAACACTAAGCTATTATGTCCCTAAAACTTATGAGAAAAAAACTACTTTCTAAACTAAAATATAAAAAAATAATTGGTTATTTCAATGGTTGCAACAGCGGCCTTTTGAATTATTTGCAAACTTTTGTCAATAAACTACAATGATGTTCTGCAGTATTTGACAGAAATATTAGAAATAGGCGTTATCACTTGACAATCAAATCGCTAATCACATTCTTCGAAAATTATATTCCTTAGGCGATTAAATTCACTACCAACGTAGGCATCCTGAAGCATTTTAACAAGGTGACTTGAACAGAGTGTATAAATCTTAACTTTTTTTTCTCTGTGGATGAAAAATAAAGTTAACGGCTGGATAACATGATTAAGACAACCAGAAAATGAAGATCGTAGATTCACAGTTGTTGCACTGTTTTTAGAAATAATAATATGTATTCATTAGTAGTTGTACGTGATACCAACAATAACTTGCAAACTCAGGTGGCACAAAAAGAACAGGTATTCCATCTTGTCTTCACAAACGATTTAGAAACTTAGAGAGACGAATGAATCAAGTACTCAAGCAATTCTCAATGAGTAAGCATCAACATGAGACCTGATACTACTGAGTAACTTTCCAAGTTACCATACCTCATATAAACACATCATAGTGGCAGTGGGGAATGCTGAGGAGTCCCATACTAAGATGAGACAGCTGTCCAGTGCACCCAGATTTTCAATGGTTCTCCATCTAATGTCACTTCTTGATGAATATCAACTTGAACGTAATAAATCCCCGCAAATCCCTAAACTTTCATGAGAGTTCACATGATGGCTCACGTCATGATGAATTGCTTCTTTGAACTACATTTCTAGGTGATGAACGCTTCATTATCAGAATACATTAGTAAGATTAGTAGGTATAATAATGTCCAGCTTGATAGCAATATATCTGAAAACTTAAACCTTGGATGCGCAAGAAAATTCAACCAGGACTACTTGCTTCTCCCTGCTTTCAGTTTATTTCAACGTATCATATGTTATAAAAAGAAGATTGTTCTTTTCTCAAATGAAGACATAAACAAACTCGCAAAATTAAAAGAAACACAAGAATAATAATAACTCAAAGTTAAATGGCGTTTAAACGTGAATATGAAAAACTGGAACATTGAGATTTACATGTATGCAAAATATTATTACAAGTTGAGTGAGCTGTACAAAGCGGAGATGGACTGTACGTAGGGAATTACAATGATGAAGAGGTGAGAGTGGCAAAAGACAAAAATAACACAGTACGCGCATAAGCAGTGGTAAAAAGGTAAATACACGATATAAAAGAGAAGTTTAGGAAAATAAAGAGACCGAATCACAGATTTTAACCGTTTTTGGTTGCTATTCTACAATTACAGTTAGATTCCATTAGATTTAACCACTTTCATTTACAATTATTATGGTATGTTCATTTTTGTTGGGTGATGATGATGGAGATATAATGGGAATGACGATTTTCTCACAATCTTTGTCAGGATTACTATTCTTCACCGTGTTATTGTCAACACCATGGCCAGTATCGTCTTCACAATTTGGATGAGGAGATTGATTAATTATAATAGACATTTTAGCAGCGGCAGCCGTGTTAGGAGTAGCGTTACTCAATAAATCTAACTGGCCAATTACACTAGATGGTGAAATTGGTGTTGTATCCACTTTACGACTACTTGCGAAAAAGAAATCATCAGTCAAAGTTGTCGCGTTGTATGGCGTCTTTGGTGATAGACTTAAGAAACAATTCGCTGCTGTTGCTGTTGTCTCCGTGGAATTAGTTTCATCATTATCATCATAGTTAGCACGCTCAGTACCTGGTGCTCCTGAGGCATTGGCAGCAGCCGCTGCAGCAGCAGCAACACGTGCAGCACCATTTACATTGGGTTCTGATGAACATTTGTGAAGTCTTGGTAAAGATCGGAACAGTGAATCTAGACACGGATATATCTGTTGTTTGAGGGAAAGGAATTGAAAATGAAAAATATATAAAATCTGATTAGATGCTATGAAAGACGTTGAGTAAAAGGTATAAGTAAAGCAGCTCACATTTAATTAGTTCTAGTTAGAAGGGAGTTCATCACGAAGTTGAAACAAACAGATGAACCTCTTATAGATTAGTACCACGTATTATTTTGATGATATTAGGTTTCTCGTTACTCCGTTTACTTTCATTACAATCAATATAAAAAGTAAGTCAATTAGGAAGTGCTAAAGTATGCGCAGATCATACGTGACTCATCATAGTCGATGAAAGTTCGCTAACTCATCTGGTTACCTTTGCTACTTAAACGTATGCACTTAATATTGAAACCATAAACTCTGTGGTTTAAGCACACTTTTGTGAAGCCGTGACTCATCAGTCGAGGCAGTCGACATTTGACCAATGAGTTACAAGTTCGACCCCCGCCTATCGAGGGCCTGGGCAGTCAGATAGTATCATTAACCTTCACACGACAAGTGTGGCTCATTGCCCACTGCACAAATGAGCATGTGGTAGATGAGCTCATTCTTCTTCTTCTCAAGCACGATGTTGATGTATTGAGAAGGCACCATTGTCCAATATTTGTGGCTTTCAACGACAATTTTTTGAAACTCATTGAGACAACAGAAGGTATATTCAAATTTCTATTCATCTGTCGTAGGCAGGTAGACATCAGTACAGCCATTCGGTAAATGATAACTAAGTACTTTGTATCTACACAGGAGGGAGAAAACAGACACAGAGGAAAGTTAAATTGCTAAACATACTCCACTAGGACAATATTTTTTAACCAAATCATATATGAGTTAAGATCTGTTTTAAAACACCAGTTTACTTTACACAAGTGGGAAAACACAAAATAGGTCTAATTAAGATTTCGATGAAGTTTATACAACTTGATAGATTAACGCGATAAAAAAATAGACTACAGGATTTTCAGTGAAGGATAACAAGCACAGGAAACTAAAAATACCATATGAACTTTTTAATAAAGACATTTCTTAAAGGAATTTCATACCACACAAAAATGATCTCCAATACCTGAAATAGTAATAGACTTCTAGTGTTGGACGTTTTGAAGAAAAAGCTTAGACTTGTGTTTTATGCTGATTTACATCTATTAGTAGGAAATGTTTAAATTTACTGAAACTTGATTTGCAATTACCGAGTACCATAATGGACTAAGGATTTGAGTTTCTATTTAGTCGCAGGGGAATCAGAATAGTTAGCTGATAGTAAGCTGGTAATTAACCACATACTATTACATCTGATTTTGGACTATATCGTATTTTGCGGATTTCACCATATGCTACATTTGCATTACACAACAAAATGCACACAAATGACACTACAATAAAACTCGTACACTAACGTCGTAAGCTTATGTTCCGGAACGTAAAGAAATGTATGTCCAGGAAGATTCATAGATGAACATCTGAATCACAAAGCTATGCATTAGTCATTTATCACTGTAAAGAAACTGCTTGTGAATTCAGTAGAAATGTAGTACGAGCTCCATGAATATAAACTATGCAGCAACTTTATACACCGTGTATACTAGTAGGTAGATAATGGACAGATGTACAAAGGACAAACTGTCAAGGTTGGCAGCTTCCATGTACACATGACAGTTCACCTAGTCCTGTGGATTCAGGTACATAGACTACATGCAGAGACATTGTCCAACACTGAAGGCGACACTTTTCAGCATGGCTCAGTAAAAGAGGGTACAGATAGACCAAAAGGTTTATCTTAAAACAATTAGATGGCGTGAAGATGATTCCAGAAGATTTGTCTACTGTAATTTACAAAAAAACGGCGAGATATTCCAAAAGGTGTTAGAAAGTTTACTTTACATTGCTGAAACTCCAGAAATTCAGAAACGGAAACCTAGAATTATTTATCATGAAGCGACGTTTCCATTATCTATCCTTAAAAAGCTTTTTATTTTTTATACTATCCAGTTTTGTTAGCACGTAAAATTTTTGACTGAAATGCTAATCTTCAAATTCCTTTCTCGCTGACAACTGTTCACTCACTTTGTTATGTATTATCCATTTCCCGGTTTCAACTCACCACAACCCATTAGGAATTATTGTATTGCAAACCATAGTGACATTTTTTTCATCATTACACACACACACACACACACACACAATAATTACATTGGACTGTAATTGAACAGATTTTGAGTGATATCACCAATAGCAAACAACTTCGCCGAAACATTTTCCTTTTATAATGCACTAGGAATATTCAAGTCTTTATAAGAAACTAACATATTAACCGTTAAACAAATTGAAAATCATTGGAGGAAGACATTTAAAACAAACACTAAAAAAAGATGTTTAAATCACCTGAGTAAATGGTGGTCGATTCTCACGCTCAAAACTACAACAATCCATAGATAGACGTTGTAATTGATGTGGTATATCTGCACGACAAGCACTTGTATCTGGTTTCAATAGACCACGACCAACAAGGAATAAGATTTGATCACGATTATTATAATGTAAATAGGGGAGTTGACCAGAGATCAATTCGTAAATAACTACACCAAATGCATAAACATCTGAAAGATTAGTGTACGGTGTTTCCCCTTCCATACGAATAACTTCCGGTGCCTGGAACAAACCATGAATTGTGAGTGAACAATGTTTTTAAAAAAAATCAAACCAACAGAATAAAAGAATAGAAAAGCAAAACAAAACAACAACATGTGAGTTATGTTGCATTGTAGAATAGGGTTTCACTCTCAAGTTCATGATCAAACTTTAAGATACCTTAAATCTGTATACTTTAAAAGAAAGCTTAGTTCAATGTTCAAGTCGTAGACTAAGAAACATATCGAATGTGCAATAGAATTATGTATTAAACACTCTGAAGTTAATGCAGCGCTATAGCAAAAAATACCATTGAGTACAGCGCGCTCAACGTGTTGCCAACTAAAGAAAAGTAATGAGAAATTTTCTGGACATAAACCTCTTAGACTAAAGGATGGATATGAATCCACTAAACCGAATAATATAGTTAATAGTTAATTAAATCTAGTAAAATGACATTAGTCTAAACTAAACACGTGCGAACAGCTGACCAGTATCATATTAGGATGTTGAAGTATAGAAATGTATCTGAATCTTAAGTAATAGACTCAATTAAGTTAAGCAATCTAGAAACTTTGGTGATAGTTATGCATATGGTTGTGTAAGGCAATGAAACTAAGCAGCAGTCCTTATAACCAACTTAATTAAGTGGATTGAGTGTAAATGATTACGATAAAACACTAAACCGTGAAGAGATTGATCATCAATTTTTTTTCCTTATACAGTCGAAAATAAACAAATGTTACAACACTGATCCAACACTTGTTTTAATGGCCTAGGAAATTTAAAAGCGCTCACAGTTAAAACACCCAATGGTTAAAATAGTAAAAACTTGATCTTAGAAATTATGAAGTTGCTTTCCTGTCATTGTAAGCAAAACATTCTGTTTAAAATACAATGCAGTAAAGTTATACTGTAACAATACGTGGCAAATCTAATAAACGAATTAATATGATATTATGCTCAAAATAACATTACTCAACTTCAACTTCAACACGGAAATAAGCTGAAGACAAAACAATAATCAAGTGTTGAGGGAGGGGGAGGGTGGATGATCAATAATTATAGATTTTAAGTAAGTCTTGCTAATCTTCTCTATATCGTTCCAATTTTAGTATATGTACCGCCGAAGCGAGTACCATAAAGATGATAAGTCTTAGAAATTAAGATGCAGGTAATCAATAGAGTAATTAAAATTGGTAATATGATATGATTCTGCCACTTGCATATGCATTTATCAGTTCAACTGCTCCTGCAGACCTAGTTACATTGGGCGTACAATGAGGTAGGTCCATCATCGAGATACTAAAAAAGCACTCATCACATACTAATTAATTTACCACATGGATTACGCATTCGCTTACTTTACATAGCAGACGTGATTGTAATCCACCTTTATAAATCTGACCTTTGTATTCAAAAGAAGTTTGTTCAATCACTTTTATTACCGTGGCCGTCAGCATGATGTAACTTTTCGTATCACTTTGTACACATCTTCCCTTCGTTTTTTTACCAGTACTTATTTATTAGGCAATTATTTATTGTTTATGACTGAACACTCGTTGAAAATCACTCCATTTACTCTACTAGTAATCATGCGACTTACCTGAGAATAACCTGGTTCTTATCACCAATTGTAACTACTTTGTTGATTATGTGCATCCTAATTTCTAAAACTTATCATCTCTTCATGACTTAAAATCTAAAATTATTGTTCATCAAACCCCCACCACTTTATTGGTATTTTAATTGAATTGTAAACTGATATATTAATGAACAGCCCAAGATGAAGACTGAATTGAAAAGAAATATATTTCTCCGTTCTATCAGTCTTTTTTCTGAAGACAAAACTGGAAGACAATCATATCCACTTACCATCCAAAATATAGAACCCGTAGGCTGTTGAAAACCAGTATTCCACCAACGACTTTTTACTGTAGCCAAACCGAAATCGCCGATTTTTACAGTTCGATCATGTAAGAAGATATTGCTTGACTTTAGATCACGATGTATTATATTCTTCGCGTGTAAATAACTGTTTGGACAAAGGAAAATAATAGCGAAAATAACAACATATACATTTTTCTTTGAATCAATTTTGGGTAGAATAAAGCATACTGACGACTATTACTGTTATATATTCATTTGAAAGTTAAAATAACCATTCAACAAAGAATAATGTCGTTCCATTAAATTGATTTTCAACTTCATACTATGTAAAACGAATGTTATGTCAGTAACTAATTTTCTACAGAAATTGGCGCTAGTCTTAACAGTTTTACCAGTACATTCAGTTAATAATTGTGAAACAGGCGAAGATTCAAATTCTACTTCATTTTGATGAACTTTCATAACAAAGTACAAACATAAATAGAAGGTATTTGTATAGATAATGTATGTGCCAGATAGTTTGGTATTGTCTACGATAATGACAACAAACAACAAGGCATATACTGACGAAGCAAAAAGTATACCTAGTTTCAAAATCTTCGTGAGAAATGAGTCTTCTTTGGCTTAATCAGTGGAAATTCTTCTCCCCTTCTACATCTTTGAGAATAATTATTTCAACTAGCCTTCACTTTGTTCATTTTTTCCTCGCTGTATGAAAATAATGTATGGAGAATTGGACTGATACACAATTAAGCCAGATAAATCCTAGGTTATCTATCTTCAACTTCTAATCGGAATGAATTAAATGCACTAAGCTACCTTGTACACATTTGTGCAGTAGGCAGGGAACCACATCTATTGGGTGAGGGCTAATGATACCACCCGGCAGCTCAAACCTCGGTAGGTGGAGCGGGACTCGAACCCGTGACCTAGTGATTGATAGACATCTTTCTAGTCTATTGGGCCACAGCTCCATCGACTTTTAACCAGAATGTCACGAGCTTCAGCCTCATATTGCCAAGAGAGACTAGTAAAGAAGTATTATCACTGGTTTTCATACAACAGTGGTTGTTTGTCAACTGTTACACAAAGTTGTCCTTTGTCGTTAAGGTTGGTTCGTAGGGCGGTCTGCTTAAATACTGGGCTACCGAAAAACTTCCCGTCGATTATATTCCATCCAATTGTTCCCTTTCAGTTTGTTTCACTCTTCTAAGTATCTTCTGAACGCACCACATACTCTCGCATGTTTTTAAGATGTCTTCAAACTTCCGTTTCTCAAACTAAGAACAAAACAAAGGGAAAACACTCGACCACTTGGAAATGGATTTGTAAATGCTCAAAAACACACCATATCACTGTTCATAAAATACCTGTGTTGGCTGAGTGAACTGCAACCACTAAAACTACACTCGAATTTGTGTTAATTACCGAATGGAGAACAGATGTTAATGTAACACTAGCTGCCAATTTCGCTCTTATGCCTTCAATACTGTTATTATTAACGCTATGTAAACAATTATTTCTTTAAAAAATATTGTACGGAATGCAAATTAGTTGGAATATTCTATGCTAAAAATGCTATACTGCACTTTTACGCACTGTCTGAAATAAAGCGATTATTATTATTATTATTAAACAAGGTATGAAGTTTATTTTCACGAAGTAGACATTACATTCTGTTACATTTTGAGACAAATCATTGCTTTTAGAATACAAAATCTACTGTCAAGTAAATGAACAGGTGTAACACTAAAGTAACTCGAAACAAACTACAGATTTTTACATTTGGATCAGCTAAGAATCCTATAAACAGAAGCCCTGTATGGTTTTCTAAACACATCGTGATTCTATTAAAATATATTCGTATAATGAGCAGTCCTGTTTTCGATACGACTTCTGAATATCTCTTTCAGTGTAACAAACCTATTAGGCAAGATAATGTTGCTGCTGATGACTTTCTAAGTCCTTCTCGAACTTACCATTACTTCTACTATATAAATACGAATTAAGTGTGAATGATTACTATTTAAAAGAAGCTTCAAAACAAATCATCTGACCTATATACTAATTGGCGCTGAAAGAGTACGAAGAAACGCTGACATCTGCAGACCAGAAAAGTTGATTTTAATCGAGAAAAGGTAATGCAAAATATTCATGCAGTGTTTATCTGGTTGTACTGCAGACCAGAAGTTAACATTTTTTCTACAATATTCTTCCATAACTAACTTATCCTTTATAAAATCTAAAACACATTTGACTTTGGTGTTGTCTCATCTGAGCTGCATGAATTGATTTATCATCTTCCTCCTTTTTACGGGTTGCCCTTTACTTTATGGATTAGCTGGTACATTAGAACCTTATATGTGAATTTACAATATGCACGTTTCACTACTGGATGTAGAAGAACAAACATAACAGAGGAAGTAACCGTCGTTTTAACTTGGTCGTGCGCATCCAGATGAACCTAAAACTGTCCACACCACATCTGACATCGAATAGTTGAAGGTGACAGGCAGGAAGACCCAAATAAGACATTTATGTTTCCTGAAAACCATTATCCAAGTCGATGGGAATAGTGCTATCCCAGTGATCCACACATGCATCATCTGACACAGCAGTCAATGACGTTAATCTTGATTTATTCAAAACACGAGTAAACTTCGATGGGATCGATCTACATACGCCACCTAACCACTGAATGGCAACCTAAATACTACACACATTGTACATGATGAGTAAATTACCAAAACGTCGACCAATCATCAAAACAGCTGGTTAGATCACATTTCTGACTGAAAACAAATCAGTAGTAGGACTGCATGAAAAAGAAATGTTATAGAACTTACTCCATTCCCTGTGATGTTTGTCTGGCAATATCCACCAACTCTGACACATCAAAACGATGCTCTAACACATGAAGATGTTTATATAAACTAGAACCTTCACACCATTGAGTTATAATAGCTAAGCACGGCTTAGAAACACAACCCATGAATAACAAGATATTTTCATGTCGTGTTTTTCTAAAACAAAAAGCAATGAAAAAACGCAGTTTTATTTTTATTCACATAAGAGATTAACACCAATGCTGAGATTCTTAAAAGGCCTCAGCTACAATGACCTTCTTTGTTGGAAATGGTGTGAACCTTTGGCCACCTGTCTTATGAATTCAAAGCTGGTTACTATTCGACATGATGACAGCTGTCTATATTAGTTGTCGCAAAATATTGTTAGCTTGTGACACTTATTAATGATAAAGCGAACTTTACAATCCACGAAAAGTATGTAAATTGCTCTGCGAAATGACTATTACTACAAGTTTGAAAAAAGTTAGAGGTCAGAAAAATCCCCTTCCAGTGCGCATAGCTACATCTTTAATTCACCATTAAAAAAGCAAGAAGACTAACTATGGTTTATACTGAAGTCATATGGTGGGCCACCGCCTATCTCCACGTGCAATATTTGCGGAAGTTGGCTTAGGTTAGGATAGGACTGGCGGTGGCCAGATCAAAACGCGGCATCAATCCACAAAGTCTCTGAATGTTGGTCTCATCCGTATATGGAGAGTGCAGACTACCTGGCTGAGGTCCTCAAGATGATAGGAACCAATGCTTGAAGACTCTTGAAGTGGCTGAAAAATCAGTGACAATGGCGCCAGTGTATTCCCTCTTTGATGTCTTCTAAAGACTGAATATTTTCACTACCCTTCATTGGGGCAAAAGTCAGTCAATTAATTAAAGGTAGTGAGCTTTCATTGGTCAATACTAAATTGTGATCGAATTGGAATCTCCAACAAAGTAAACACTCCCTCCTTCTTGTAAATTTGGAGATGTATAGTCAGTATTAACATGGAACCTGACACTCTTGTGCAGCCCTCGAAGCTGTCACACTTCACGAAATGAGACTGACTTTAAACCATTTCACACAAATTTATGTCAATCATCGAAAATCAAAAAGCCTATATTTGAGGCTTTCAATCAACTATTTTAAATCATCTGACTAGAAATGTGATGGAATTCAGACCAGTATTAGCACCACTACATAGGACAGAAATATGAAACGTAGAAATGAACTGGTGTTAGTTGTCACAGATATAAACAAGCACAAAAAGATAACCAAGGATACTAAAATGGACAGGTAGAAGAGTAGGTTGAAAACAAACAAGTGAAAAGGAACATGATGTTTAGGCTTTAAAAGAATGTTAATAATGAATGTATCTCACTCAATGAGACAACTTTGAGGTCAATTCACTCCAAACAAACTCAAATCCAACTTCTGACTATCCCGAAGAACTTTTTAACTTTCTGAAAACCCTATTCCATTGTTCCAAAAACGGTTCAAACAGACAGTCGACAGCTTTAGGGCGACTTTAAAAGCCACCCTAGCAACGATCAAAATCACCAATTAGGCTTCATCGTTTCAGGTAAAAAAAACGCAGATTTTCATAAAATAGAGAAGTCTAATTGGTCATTTCAGCTGCTGCTAGGGTGGCCTTTAAAGTCACTCCAACTTTACTACTTTTCGCTTAGACAGCTTGAATCCTTTTCCATTTTCCCCTTAAATGAGACAAACACATAGACAGAGTAAGAGTAACTGCAGTAGATAAACAAGAACTACATACCAATGAATTTTATTTCATTCACTGATCCATGACCCTTAATCGTTACTGCATCTAATCAGATATTATAGATAGCCTGAGGTAGAGATTTAATCTCTAACAAACACTATACTTACACAGACGCGTGATCCACAGCGCAATATTTCACATCGCCACATTTTCAAAACCGCAAAGAGAAAATCAACAAAAATAGAAAGATATTAAATTTTCAAAAATATATGAGACATGAGAGAACAGACAAGTTAAGATTAAGAAGATCATTTGGATCTCGAGGAAAGCAGAAAGTCAAATAGTGATTGTTTTTAATTCACAACTCAGGAGATTATCCTGTCACTGAGTTCCCACGTCTCGAAAGATATAGTTCATTAACCTAAGCAATTAATTTCCAATCGATGCGTTGAAACCTCGCTTCACAAATTTCGGGTTTATCAACCAAGGTGGTGTCGTGAGTCAATATACTATAGGTACGACTCACAGACTAGTACATAAACAGTACACAAACGGCAGCTCAGTGATCTGTAACTTCTTATGCACCTCAGAATGATATTCAGTCACTCCATTAGTTGATAATATTTCTTCATCCGGCCACCCTCAACATTTTTCACCAGACAGTCCCTCTGTTATTCTAACCTCATAACAACATGCTTACGGAGATAATGCATTTCAGCGCAATTATTGCAGTAAATAACTTAGCCCAGTTAACTAGTTCACTAGTTACTCGCCGGTCATAAGCCCACATAAAGAAGCAACCTTGGGCATACAGCTACCAACACTATCCCACAAAACCAATACAATCGCTAAACAAACTTCAAAGCACAAACAAAATAAACAAACTTATTCCTCACTGGAATCGGAGAGACGAAATAACACCAGTTGGTGAAAGCTTGCCTTCCGGAAACCAACTGACCAATGTGTCTTCTCTCTCTCTCCTTCACTCCCTCCCTCTCTCTCTATCAAAGTGAACGTAGGAGTGAGGATTTGGAATGTCCACACCATGTATGAACCTACCGAGGCTGCCCAGCTTGCATTCTAATGAGAAGATACGGCATAGAAGTGCTGGCAATCTGCAGATGGAATGGAAGTCGACTCTGCAAACTATCAACTGCACAGTCAATAATATACTCACATATTGTCATCCAGACGACAACAATGAGCACATTGAGTTTTCCAGTGACTATCATAATGTCACCTTGAAGAGCATCGAAGGATCTCTCTCATGCAGTGGGAACCAATCTCCCCCTACAGGATCAGCATCATCACAGCAACATTCAACTCAGGAGGAACGAAACTCACAATCATTCAATCCCACGCTATGCAACCACAAATAATGCACATCAAGAGAAGAAGAAGAAGAAGAAGAAGGAGCAATTCTACAGATAACTACAATCACTAATCGACAAGACCCCACTGAAGAAGTTGGCGACATCAACATTCTAATCGGTGGTGTGACATGAGTGCCAAACTCGGAGCGGACAACACAGAAACAGAACTCATCATGTGTGGAGAAGCACTAGGTGAAGTGATCAACGAGAATGGAGAATCCTTTGCATATTTCTGTGCATTCAACGATTTGGTGATTGGAGGCACTGTGTACAAACACAAGGATATTGACAAGGCAGCGAAACGAATTTCATTTCACCAGACACCAAGACACACTACACTACTTCTAATCAGATCGACTTCATCTCAATGTGAAGAAAGTGTAGACACAGTCTACTGCACACAACATTAGGTCAGATCATATCAGATGAAGAAGGGGAGCAGATGTAGGTGGTTCACACCACTCACTATCTAGTGCAACGAACCCACCTTCAAAATCAAGTTGAAAGCCTTCAATTGAAGGAAGTTGATGATAGACCACAATTCAAGTTGAACAAGCAGAACAGAAAGTGAACTGAAGGATGAAACTACGAAGGACATCTTCACGTCAGTCAATCATCAGGACAAAATGGGAGATATCGAGCAACATCCCTGAAGAAATCTGTGTGGAAGGAAACTGAAACCCTTCAAAAGCTATTTGGAAAGAAACCTGCATCACCGTGTTAGGAAGGAAGAAGAAGCAAGATAAGGAATGGATCTCGACGGACACATGGAAGCTGATAGAGAGAGGAGTGAGAGGAAGATGGTGATGTTGAAGCAGAAGATGTACGAGTGAAGTGCAAGGATGAACAACGAAAAGATGAACTGAGTACAAACTATGGAACACTGGACAAGGAGGTGAAGAAGAGTGCTCACAAAGACAAAAGACACTTCTACGACACATTGGCAAGTGAAGCAGAACGGACTCCACGTTGGAGAGACAGAGACCTGACAACATTATATCTAATAACCAGCTTACTATCTAGGAGGCAAGAGATCAACTCAGACGAAACGAATGAGAGAGAGAGTTAAGGACAGCTAGTTACGAAAGAGGAGGAACAAAGAGGATGATGGGCTGACCACTTCACAAAACTCTTGAATCAACCACCACCTGCATCTCGTCCAAAATATCACCAGCAACCCAGACACAGAATTACCAGTGAACACAAGCCCTCCGACAATACCAGAAGTCCTGAATGCCATAAAACTGCTGAACTACCGGAAAGCAGTAGCACCAGATGGAATTCACCCAGAAGCACTGAGAACAGACGCAGAGACAACAGACGACATGCTCACACCACAACTGCAGACGGTTTGGAAAGAAGGAAGGAAGGAAGGAAGGAATGAAAGGTACCTGACGATTGGTTGGAAGAAGGGCTATCTTGTCAAACTTCCAAAAAGGGAGACCTAAGCCTCTGCAGGAACTGGTGAGGAATCATGCTCGACTGCTGCCCACCCCAAGCAAAATATTATGCCGCATCATTCTGGAGAAACTGAAAAGTGTTCTCTACTCAAAATTACGATCGGACACAGGTTGGTTGGCTGCCTTCTGGAAGAACAAACCATGTGAGGATCAAATTGCAACACTACAATACGCAACTTCATAGAACAGAGTACAGAATAGCAATCAACTCTCTACCTCAACATCATCGACTTTGGAAAGGCCTATGATTGAGGAGTCGACCGAGAAGTAACTTGGCAAGCAGCTGCTTCAACATTATGGTTTTAGTGCCACAAGCCCTTATCAACCTCATTCAATAGCTATATGAAAACACCACATGCCAAGTGATCCACAAAGGAAAGCTTAGTGCCGCCTTTGAAGTGAAGACAGGAAGGAGTAAGACAAGGCTGTCTACTTTCAACCATAATCCTCCTGACTGTGGTGGACTGGATCATGCAAGAAACAGTGAGGAGCGAGAAGATGAGTATACGCTATTTGACCGATAAAAAGACCCCAGAAGGTTTGGATTTCGCGCCCACAATGATGATTCATGTCTAGTGTCACACAAGCTCGAAGATCTACAGGCAAAAAACAACAAGTTGGTGGAAGAGGTTGCAAAGCGAGACGGGACTTCCTTCAGGGGAATGTAGAGAAAAGAGAGATGATGAAGTTACCTGACCAACAATAATAACAACAACAAGCACGAATCACCACTAACGGGAGAAATTTAAAGGAAGTAGCCTCTTTCACCTACCTACCTAGGCAGCATCGTTTCAACTACAGGCGGTGTCGGTGGCACACATGAGGATGTCAAAGCCAGGATTGGTAATACAGCACGACAGGCCTTCGTTAATCTGTAATCTGTGTGGAGATCTATTGCACTTATCAGAAAGAACAAGATCCGGATTTTCAACACCAATATCAAGTAAGTTAGTGCTTCTATGTAATGGTTCAGAAACTTGGCGCGTCACGAAAAGCACTTCCAACGAACTACAAACATACTTCATCAACAGTTGTCTCCTATGCTCGATGCTGAAGATCAGATGGCCAGAAAGAATAAGCGGCAAGGAACTCTGGCCTGGCAACGAACCAACCAACAACCTATTGCCTAACAAATATTCAGGAGAAAGTTGGAGAGGGATTGGACTGGACATACACTGTGAAGACCGGCTGGGGACATCACTCCATCACTCGGCCAGGCCAGGTCATGTCAGGTCTTTGAGTGGAACTGGAAGGAGAAACGACGAGTAGGGTATCTGAGGCGAGGGTGACAAGGAGGAGATCATGTGAGGAAGAAATGAAAGCTTGTGGGCAATGGTGGAGCCAGGTTGGAAAGACTGCAGAGAACAGAGTGGAATGGAGACGTGCTACTGAAGCCCTATGTTTCATTAGGAACCCAAGGGACAGATAACAATAAAATAATAACAAGGAGTCACAGCAGATGATAACACCTTCATATTTAAATATAATAGAGACTATGTTTGTCTGAAAGAAATGAAATGAAAAACCTATAAATGAATAACTTTTCATTCACAAAGTTCAATGCAATAGACTCGCCAATAGAGTGGAAAGGAACAAAACATGAGTGATTAGAAAACATAACAGACGCATAGCGATTGAGGTAACTTTCGAACGATGCAGCAAGAGTGACAAAGAAGAGCATAATATACGCCAGCTTTCACATTTACCTTAATACACTGACTTCATTTTTGAATGCTTTTAATTGCTGAGGTGTAGGATCTACAACATTCAACTCTTTGATAGCAACATTTCCATGCCAATAACCCTTGAAAACTGTTCCAAATGATCCTGAACCAATACGTGGGCCTTTAGTAATTTCTTGTCCATTGATTTCCCATTCATCATTCGAACTACGTCTCTAAGACAGTGAAAAAGCAGATAAACATGGGGAATAGTATGAAGGCAAAAGCAAAAAGTAAGTAAATACGTATAGGATGAAGCACTGATAGCTGACAGCTATACATCAGGCTCCAGCACCTATTCTTCACCAGAGCATCGAGAAAACTGACAAAGAACACGACAAAATCATATGGCATATTATGATATTTCCCGAACTTCCTAAAATCTAGTTAGATGGTATGAAAAAGTTTAAACTAAGGGGTAGTCAGAGAAAACGCATACTTTTACAGTTATAGCAAGCGAAACAGTTAAGCACATTTGGTAAAGATATATGCAAACAAAGGTAATGATACTGGGTAGATTGGTTGAATGGCAAGATTCACAAAAGATCAGAGAAAGTTGGCAGTATTGGTTTATTGTCTCAAAAACTCAACGACCTTCATTAGCAACATAACCAACTTTTTGCTAATTAACTGGTGAGGATTAGGAGTTGACATGTTGTGATATTCAGATGTGTGACAAATTAATGGAGATGAATGTTACGCTGAGCTTCACATTGGTTAGATAGACAACTACGAAATGATAAAAGATTCTAAATATACCCTAGTGTTGAAAAACTGATTCCCAGCTGCCGTAGAAAAACTGTTTCTGATGAGTGTTAAGGGGACTTATAAAATCACAAGTTACTAAACACATTTTATCACCTGCAGTGGTGGTTACAAGGCTGTAAAGTTTGAAAGGCTACCGCTGTTACAAATGGAAACTAGAGTGTTCACTAGCCAGATATATCCTCATTTGTAGGGATAAATACTCCTTCCTCTTCCTTTTTTTTCATACATGAATCATCTCTGCCTCTACTGATTTTCTGAATCAAGTTAATATTCATAAGCTCACACGACTGAATATGGGATTTCAGAAACCATTTAATCTACCTTAGTTTGGTATATCCTTAAACTGGTTATTCAATAGTTTGCCCATAGAACTTTGATAGTTCAGTCACATCTGTAAAATTCAAAAATATACCACAGGATCAGTCAGTACCAACACCTGGTAGAGATGATTCAGTGCATACTATTATGAATTTATATTGAATACGATAGTAAGGATATGTTATACAACCTTAGCTCATTGTCTACCCGATATAAGATGTCAGATGAGACAGTAAGAGGTTAAAGAGAAGTCAAATGTAAGTTATAGGAAAATGGTCATTGTACGAAAAGAGCATTGACTGTTATTTTCAGTTGCGTAAGGTCTAAGCTTCTAAGCTATTATTCTCTGAACGTTATTATTCAGTGGTCAAGGACTGTCTGTAACAAGGTTCACTCATTCTGTAAATCAGTTTTTCCCCCTTCTAGTAAACCCTTTTCTTTTATTTCAGTATCCTTACATTTCAATGAGTTTTCTCTCTACATAGTTGTGTATTGTGGTAATTTAAACTGATGAAAATGCACGTCAGTGCCTATCTTGTTCCAACTCTTTGTTTGTCCGTCCAAGTTTCACAGAAAAATGTCGAGGGAACAGCTTATGTTTCTTACCTTCATAGATTGTTTTGGATCACTTCCAGATCTCTGGTTATGCGGTAATCCAAGATTTGATGTGAAATAGGCATCACTAACAATTGACGGACTTTCTGGTACACCACCAGGTGTGGAAGTATGATCTTTATAGGGAACAAGAAACAAAAAATTTAAACATTTGATAATAACATATGCAGTGAAGCAGATCGTTTAATTTATGAAACATGTAGAATATCTCCTTCTCATCAACCACATACACGTATGTGTACTAGGCAACGAATCGTAACACTTAAGGTATCAGGGTTATAGATACGACCTCATTGCGCAGGCCTCTATAGGTGTAGTAGGGTTTGGATCCATGATTTACCGATCGAAAGTTAAGTGCCTAGGTTGATGAGTCACAGTTTTACATGTGAGATATGTAGTAATTAAAACATAGTATTAATCCTAGTCAGCAATTACATCCACGTTCATGAATTAGACAATGTAAATCACACCTATTTCGTGACGAGTGACACCTTTTCAAATATCATTGTCAATATTATCAATGCCGTAACAAGATGAAAATACTCACTCGTAACTGGATAGACAATATGCAGTGGAGATCCTTGAATAATTTTGTTCGCTTCTCGCTTAAATACAGAAAAGTGAAAGAAAAAAGAGATCAGGAAAACGTGGGAAGAACGCAAATAACAACATACAGGTGGGATGAAGTACTTGGAACCATACACCCAGAGAGAGAGATGTACACACAAAAACACAGAATAAAGCATAACACATAAACATAGGTACATCTGGGTGCTGTAAACAACCAACTCCAACAAAAAATAGCCTTTAAATGGATAAGACTTATCCCCCATAATGATAAAACAAACTAAAAATAAACGTGTGGAAAATATTCTTTGTAAAGTAATGGAGGGGAATGAATGGTAATGAATGTGGAGTTTTACCCGCTGAATAAATTAAACCTATCAAGTTGAGATGTTAGTATTCATAAATTGACCTACTGAAGGACTCATCGAAGTACAGAACGACTGAACTCGACGTACACCAGACGATGCATAAGGTGACAGTTTTGATATATTATCAGCATATAAGACATTTGTATTCTTTAAAACGTTCTCTACTGGTAGATTTGACATTTTGTGAAACTCTGACCAACCTTCAGCGTTAACTACTTGCTTGAATGAAGTTGACACATGCACCAAATGTGAGTTGTTAGTGTAACCTGAGTTATCACTCAATAGTATATTACTTGTATTATCTGAACAACCTTCGTAGAAAGAAGAATATGATGTAGAAGCCTGACCACTGAGAGTTACTTCGTTGTTACCATTACTACAATGGTGGGATTGGGTCACAGTACGATATTTATTAGCTATAGAAGGAGTTAGAAAGTCAATTGGTTTAAATTTTTCACATACATTACTACTACCATAATGTTTTGCAGTAGCATCATCAGATAACACTTTGGTGGTTGTAGGGACTCTAAGATGTGCAGTATGAACATCATCATTTGAATTATTATCCTTAAAAGAATGAACATGCTTATGTTGTTGAGAGCCGCACCCCAGGGACTCTTGGTGGTTGTGTTGAAAACAAGCTGATATACTTCTAGAAAAATGTAAACTACTCTGAAATTTGATAGGCAGAACTTCACAACCTCTATTTTTATGCGTAGACATCTTGATTAAGCGTTTAATTTTACTTGCTCCACAAGCATGATAGTTATAATAGCGATTACAATACATAGCATCACCCATTATTCCAGTTTGATGATGATAGTCACGACAAACACAGGAATTTCGGCAGTTCTTCATTTGAGGAAAAGGAGATAAATATTGCATACAATTATTATCATTTACGCATGCTGACACAGATAATGTGGTGGTCAATTCTGAAGTCAAATCGTTGCCGTCAATTAAATCAATGTTATAGCTTAATTTTGACGTATCATATCGTTTACTACTTATATTGTGTTTACAAGTAGTATTCTTCAGGCATGGTTTACATCTGTAACTAGGATAACAGCAGTATCGATGTGGATTTAGGTTCGTATTACCACAGAATGAACATGAAAAGATTAAATTCGACAGTAAAGACCTTGGACGCCGGGTACTCCTCGGCTTACAACAAGTGGATAGTATTATTGGATTACTAGGTGTTTTACAAGAACTGTGTAATCCATGTAGAAAACATGAATGATGAAGGTTGTTGAGTATATGTGCAAAGTGAATTACATAAAAACCATTAAAAAACCGCATTAATTGGTATTAGTAAATCATATACATTCATATCCAAGTACCAGTAGACAGCATATTAAAAAGGTAAAGAAAGACAAACGGAAAAAAAATGTAGGATTAGGTAAACTATTGAATGTAAATAAAGATGACAAATACTATCTATTAAAATAATAATAATAAACTGTTATTCTTTCTTATCTACCTTTCCCAGCGAACTAGGCATGAATACAGTTCTTTGTTGATTTGGGGGAATTAAATTGTTTGACACATTCGGTGTTGATGATGAACGTTCTCTACATGTGAGTGTTAAACACTGACGAGGAAAATGACCTCCAGACGATGTTAACGATCCTGGAAAACATTGACCATTCGGTAAGAGACTGTTTCCATCAATACCACTAACACCGCCACCAGTTGAATTAGTCAATACACGTACTGTTGTTATATCATCAGGGTTAAAATGATGAAAGCGTGTGTAACCAGGCGTTGCACTTGCAGGTACTAACCAATTCGATCCATGTATAGATGAACTAAGAGAAGTAGCCGAAAAGCTATTTAGAAGGTTTAATAAAAGAACTCCTAAGTGGCAAAAAATATGTATTACAAATGTGCATATTACTTATACAACAAGACATTATGAGCTGGTTTTGTAGTCAATCAGCAAGAAGCTAGGTTATGTATTCACTGGCACTCATCAGCAAGGTACGACTGCAACTATGAGGAGATTAGAATCTGAACCACTCAGTAGTGTAGTCAAAGACTTTAGCAATAAGCCATTTGCGCCAAGACCAATCCCTTACAGGAAAGTATTATGTACAAAAATTGGTAAACAGTGGTTAACCAACGTGCCCTTGTATTCCTCAGTGCTCAATACTGACAGACCAATTTGGTGATGTACCGAATTGCAACGCTTTGCATCATCATAGAACACAGCATAGAATGGCACTCAACCCTCTAACTCAACTTCATCCACTTTGAAAAGACCTTCGACAGCGTCGATCGAGAGGTAATTTGGCAGTTGCTTCAACACTACGGAATACCACGAACCTTTATCAATCTCGTTCAACAACTATATGAAGACGCCAAATGCCGAGTAATTCACAATGGAAAGCTCAGTGATGCTTTCGAAGTGAAGTGAAGACAGGAGTAAAACAAGGCTGTCACCTACTATCACCCATGATATTCCTGATTGTGGTCAACTGGACTGGATCATGCAACAAACAATGAGGAGCGAGAAGAGGGGGATATGCTGGACCGGGAAAAAATATCCTAGAAGACTTGGATTTCGCCAACGATGACTTGTGTCTGATGTCGCACAAACTGGAAGATCTACAGGCGAAAACTAACAAGTTGACAGAAGAGGCAGGGCAGCAAGGCGGGACTTCAAGTGAACATAAAGAAGACAGAAGTGATGAAGATACCCAACCAACAACAACAACAAACTCATATCACCATCAACGGGAAAAACTTAAAGGAAGTAGCCTCTTTCACCTATGTAGGCAGCACTGTCTCAACTACAGGCGGCACAGATGAAGACGTCAAAGGCAGGATGGGAAAGACAACAAGACAGGTGTTCATTAACCTGAAACTAGTGTGGAGATCTGCACTCAGCATGTGGAACAAGATCCGGAATTTCAACACCAACGTCAATCAAGTCAGTGCTCCAGTATGGCTCAGAGACTTGGCGCGTTACGAAAGACATTTCCAACAAACTACAGACAGTTATCAACAACTGCCTACGGTGGCTCGTTACTGAAGATCAAATGGCCAGAAAGAATCAGCAACAAGGAACTCTGGCATGGCGACGAACCAACCAAGAACCTATCACCTAACAAATATGCAGTGGAAGGAAGTGGAGATGGATTGAGCATACACTGAGAAGACCGACTGGGGACATCACGCGTCAGGCCAGGCACTGGAGTGGAACCCCCATGGGAAGAGAGGAGTTGGGCGTCATATGCAAGGGTGACATGGAGGAGATCGTGCGAGGAGGAAATGAGAGCTTCTGGGCTGTCGTGCAGCCAGGTTCAAAAGATTGCAGAGAACAGAGTAGAATGGAGACGTGCTACTGAAGCCCTATGTTTCATTAGGAACCCAAGGGACAAATAATAATAAAGAGTTGGTGATGTGGTTACTGAGCTAAGTGAAGTGAAACTGTGTTGCAGGAAACCTAAGTCCAGGACTTCAAGTCAATCAACTCCTAAAATACAGTACACCGCAGTATCCTATCACATACCTTAGTGACCACATTACTAAGTTAAATCTATAAGCTTCTGCCAGTACTGAGCAACTAAGAATAGACAGGTACATCGGTCACCTTTTGGTGGCTTCTTCGCGCAGATAAGTTTATTTAACCTTATATGTCAGCTGACAGCTATTTTATTCATCTGACTTCACTGTAAGAAATAATGGACGATAGATTCATTTGTTTATGAATCACTCAAAACAAAATCGCAATAAACTGTTCAGAAATTCATCCTAAGTCTCTTCAATTCTGTTCTGTAAACGTATAAAAATTAAGCGTTCAAGCATATAAAACGGTAGCGAACAATATCTTCGCAATGTCTTCTAGAGAAGTATGTCTGGTAACGTGTTGTACATTAAAGGCGGTTACATGAAATGTAGTATACAAAATGATACTTAGGTGCTTATCTAAGGCAAACGAGTTTAGAATACTTGCATTCTTCAGTTATACTATTAGTTAGACAAAGGGATTAAATTTTTTCAAACCATATTTCATAGGTGAACAAACCACAATCCATTGTTTTTAGTTCATCTTATTAGAGAAAGCTTGAGGTGAACAGATTATCGAACCGCAAGAAAATATCAAATAAATGATCTTAAATCTTTTATGACTACATTAAGTATCTGTTGATGTCACAAAAAGTCAAAAAATGTTTAGTTCACTGTAGTGTCTGAAACCACGACAATTTAGGCCATCATATTATGTGAGTATTTTAAGCTACTTCATTTGATCGGTGAAATTTAAAAACATTAGAACTTGTGCATGCTTATAAAGTCTCTGGTAAAACTGAGTGAATCAACTGGCTAGTGGACAGTGACTGAGAAAAAAAAAACGAAAATACAGAAAAATACCTCTACTTTCTTACTTTCGACTACTTGATTGGTCGCCACCATAGAAAACATCATCATCCAAAGCAGATAAACAATTCTTATCAACACGTGGAAGACAACGATTGTGATAAGCACATCCACAGGTTTTACATATAGCACCTTTGAAAGACAGAGGGAGAAAGTATGTAATGCAACAACAATACTTACCATGAAATATTGATTTATGGCATTGATTACAGTATGCTTTTTCAAAAAATGTCTTTCTTTGAAAATGATGTTCTAGTCGTTTGACATTTCGTCGCGCAAAATCTACTATCAATTCTTCACCAGTTAAGGCTATCTGTTCAGCATCATCTTCCCATGAAACTGGTAGACTGTCAAAAAGGAAAGACAAGAAAAGGTAGATGAAATGACAAAAAGTTTTAAAAAAACAATATCTTTCTAAGCATACTGCTAAATTATTGTTCGTTGTAAATAGATCAAGCAGTCCAAAGTGTTAAACTATGTAACCAACCATCAACCACATATATTGAGCTAAAGGTAATGATTCTAATTGACTACTCACAGCACTTGATGAGTCGTCGTTCGAATCCATGAATAACTTAGCTCAAAGTGTGGAAACCAGGAGATTCCATTTATAACAAAGCAATTTACTAGTAATGCACAGTTCTATAGACACAACACTTGCTTTTTGAGAGTTGAGTTCGTTATTTGGAGGTATATGTAGAGGATTTGAGTTTATGAATTAACCGTGAAGACCTTAATACTCAAGCCACAATTACACCAGATAATACAGAGACTCTATCTTACATTTAAGTAGTATACAAGTTGCAGGACGACTCCGAGTCATATAGACGGCTCAGTGAATGCCTAATTCGCAGAATCATTTTATTCACTGAGGTAAAAACAGTCAAAACAGTCGAGCCTGAACTGATTAACTAAACTGGTGTTGGAACTTGACAAAACCAATAAGTTGACTTGATTTTCGACGCTTCTGGTTTGCATGTATCACTGGAAATAGTCATTTCACAAGCCTTTATGAATAATATAATTCTTGTCACAAGTTTCAAATGCATAACCAAAGACTTCATGTATTACTAAAACGATTTTCATTTGATTCTTGCCCGGTTTAACAATGAGCAATGAATTAGCCGGTGATAAGATGTCTGTAATACGTCTAAAATGTTTAAGTTCATACAGATTTGTAGTGATAAGTTAATTTAAATGATGCTATTAAAAACCAAGGACAAATTACAGTACTGATCACCGTTAACAGATTAGGATGGGTCACTTAGTTGATGACAAAACTCAATGTTAGCCACAAACTGACAGCTTTTTCCTTGAACATAACCATAAAGAAAGAAAATGTATCGTCTTCTTTCCAATTTGCTTCATACTCTAACTGAACCTTTCAGTATAATATCACACAAGCAAAACCTGATGAAAGTTTAGTCGATTAATACAACCTGACCCTTAAAATTTTCCTATTTGATGAATTTAGTTCCTTTAATGAACTTCAATAACGCAATGATAACAGGGTTTTTAGAAGATGACATCATTTTATTCTAAAGGATTCTCATCAGCTGCATATAACCTGAATAAATTAGCGAATAATCACTGTAACGAATATTGATTTATCACATATGAAGCGTCCTTAGATACCAGTTAGTGTTCTGAAGATTGGAAAAACAACACAATTCAGAATATAAATGATATTTAAGTAATACATTCAGTCAAACTAGATACTTGTTATATGAGGCAAAGTGAGGAATGTTCATAAATGAGTAAGATAAGATTAGAAGTAAGCAAAAGCGATTATGTATTCATGCGAAAATATTGTTTGATACTTTCAGTTTCCCATTGCTATACAGGTACGAACTGCTCGACCTCTGCTGGCAGATGGTCACCCAAGTGAATGCTGGTGCTCCCAGATATTCACAATGCTGTGTCAGGTATCTAGTATCAAACAACTGATACCCGTTGCAGAAGTGGTGGCTCGAGTGCCCCATTGGCCTAGTGAATAACCCTCTGGCGTTTGAAGTGATGGGTAGTAAGTCCGAGTCTCAGCGGGGTGCAGATACATCCAGCTGACAAGTCCCAAAGAGGACGAAACGCGCGTCCTGGATTACACTGTTAGTCACCAAGATGAACGCGAAAATATTGTCTTAGCAAAGTGAGAAGTAGAGGAGATAAGTTATCGTAATAACAGCAAATAAGTTAATACTGAAACAACGGTCAACATGGATACGGATACGTATAGGCACAAAATAAAGATCTAGAAACTTTCTTTTGGGAAAGGTGAGAGGGTGAAAAGTTACTAACTACCGGAGCAATAATAAATAGGTAACTGTCTCCGTTTGAACTCCTTAGATGGTGACTGCTTTGGTAATTTATGGTAAATGAGAAGTCTTTAGTCTCTCAAGTACTATGGTGAAACTGCATTGTGCTCACTTGATGTTATGCATCACATAAATGACGAGCCATTGCATTGCTGAATGAGAATGAACCTCTCAGATACACACTCTTTGGTAGTTATTCTGCAATCCCAGTACACAACCGCTTCTCTATTCTGCTTGCGTATTTGTTTCAGGGAGTACATGCGAACTTATAAATTAATATGGAGCTGGAAATCGTTACAGTGATTATTTACTCATTTATCCAGGTTGCATGCACCTGATGAGAATCCTATAAAGTAAAATGACATCATCCTATTCAGCAAATAGTGTCTTCGTTGCGTTAATCACTATTTGATCAAATAACTGATTCCAAATAAACAGAACTTCTCGCAACGTTGTGTTAGTTCTAATTATCACAGTCACACAACATAAGAGCGAAAACTTGAAAAGTTAAACCATAAAAAGAAGTTAATTAAAAAAAATAATATATTCTGAACTTTAGCTATTGTTATTATTATTTGTCCCATGGCTTCCTAGTGGAACATAGAGCTTCAGTAGCACGTCGCAGTCTTTTCAACCTGGCTCCACTACTACCTACAAGCTTTCATTTCTTCCTCACACGTTCTGCTCTATGTGTATGCATGTACTTAAGCTATGGCAAACGCAAACAGATGAAGCTTAGGCTACACCACGAAAAATATCCAAACATCGATTCTTGCTACCATAAGGATACTAGATAAGTTTATTATCTTTTCATTTGTCCAATAGTCACCTGAGTTATTGAGCGGTTTCGTTACACTCAATTCATAAATATACCTACTGTCTACCTCTACAATCGTTAGGTAGAAGACAGGTCACTGTTTTGTTGTGTATTCACGTGTATTACCTTTTAAGTGCACTGGGCAGAACAAGTTGAGAAAGGTCATATGAGACTTCAGTATACCTGTCGATATAAAGACGGAAGCTAACGTGTCAGTTCTGATCCAATTCACCAGATAACTGCATCTGCCAATATTCCCTTTTTTTTAATGATATAAAAACGGATGCGAACCAAACCCTACTTTGCATGTGTAAATGTACATCGAAAAACACCATATTTTCACCTAAGGCATTCAAAAAATTGGGACCATTAGGCATCTACGCACAACACAATGATATATTTTAAGGATTCAAAGTCCACTCTGATATCTCATGTAACAGATTAATACTCTAAAAGTCAATGATTTACCTCAGGCTGAATGAATAAGGTGACAAAATGTGACATGGATGTATATTAAATTAATACCAATTACCCTGTGCGTGCTCGATATACAACTAACTGTTCTAAATGCAAACCACGATGTGACAACTTCTTCTCTAATGCATGTTTGATTTGTTGGCCGGATTTAATCTCAACCAGGGTAAACTGACTATTCGGTAGGTTGGCACGCAGGCGTAACTTGGTCGTTGTAGATGTTATTGACAGCATTGCTTTGAGTTCTGTCGATGATGCGTTATCTGTTTGAATCGAAGTAATGGATGATGATGAAAGTAATGGAATAGAAGGTTGTGATGATCCATTCATCATCTTATTCGATGTTGACACCAAATTGGCAATATCTTCACCATTATTACTACCGCTTATAGTATTATTACTACTACTATTATTGTTATTGTTTAGCATCATTGTTGTCATCATCATCATATACTGATCAAGTTTCGATCTCCAATCTTCTAATTCACATGTATACCTATCAATAGCCGACTGGACAATATTTATATCATTGGAGACTTCATCGTATTCTTTTGTAATTAAACCGGAGAAATCTTCTTGACGATTGATGAAATTTAGTAGCTGATACGTTTTCAATTGTAAGGCCTGATTTACCAGGGTAAAATCTGCGATCTGAATAAGAAAAAAATTGATAAATCGAAATGATTTCAACTGGGCGGTAAAACCAGTCAGTTAATATCAACATACGTCCTTGCATTACTGTGTAACGGCAAAATAATTAAATAAATCGTTAAACACAGATCTCAAAGTATCCTACATCACGGATTGATATAAGATGAAGAACCAATAAAATCTTGGAAGCACTGAACAGTCATTCCATAATGTTTGAAACTCCGCAAGTGTGCACCCACGAATTGGAGATAGGTACTTACCACTAAAATTAGACGATGATCAAGCTACGTTGTGAAATTACAGCAGCAGGAACAGTGGGTAACTGGATTTCAACCCAATGGTAACGCTCTCAGCCCTTGGTGAAGCTGCATATGCGCACTGTTGATGAATCTCAAGACAAGATGAAACGGTTATCCAGCGACCCCAGGTTCCCAATGGTTCTCCAACGAGTATCGATCCGCAATAAAAACTACTAAGAAGTCAAATGATCACAGACTAGTGATGGGATTACATATCGTAGCAGCATACTATAAATATCTATAAAAATATAAAGGTATCGGAATGACAGGGTGACTAGTCTGAATACTGTTAGTAGTATGTTTCGTTATTTTATGATACTTTGTTGTCATAGATTTCACTTTGTGGTCTTGGCTCACTGATTTCCAACGGAAGCTGTGCAGACGCCACAGTTGACCAGTTGAAAAACTAATCAGCTGCGAAAAATGTCAATGTGGACTATGCGGGTTGCAAGCAGTTTACAAACTGATCATCCTATTTGAAGTGTACCGGTCAATCCAAATCCTTTAGCAAGATCTTGCTCTGGACGACTCGATTTTGTGGGGTGACTTTCACTGGCTAAATCGCTGGTGACTTCAGATCCAAACAAGCGAAGAAATTATTCCGTATTTAGATTACTCAGACCTACCTAGTAAAATCTACAGATCAACGTTAATGGTTTCTAACCACTCATTTCGTTCAGTAGTGTACTTGGATTTTGAAATGAACATAAGGTTTGGAAGAATTTACAGGTGATGCGATCCATAGAATCCAGAGAAAGATAACACATGAGCAGATATGTAACTAATATGATAGATTTCTGCTGATCTCTGGCCATACTGCATGTACTGGGAGGCCACATGGTAGGAGAAAATGTGCTATTTTAGAGCGCACCTATTTCTAAGGCCACTTTGCAAAGAGTAGGCAGTATAAACGTGGACTAATACCCATCTGTAAACAACACTGTCGTCACTCTTCTGTCCAGCCAACAACACGACTTCACCCTCAGACTACCATTACATTGAACTGAACTCTCTAAGCAACTTGTCTAATCATGCACTGGGAAATGACCCAAACCTGTTTGAGGGCTACTTATACTAACTGGTTTCCGAAACTTCAGTAGGTAGAGGGAGGTTCGAACCCGCGGTCCACCGGTCTAGATCAGTGAGCCACAGTTCCTCCATCATGTAGTAGCTACTTACTTTATAACGGTAGCTACTTTTTGTTTCACCACTATCCGACTGACCTTCTTGTAAGGTAGGACTTCAAGAACAAAGTCTTCCTATCAGCATAACTCGTTGAATTATTTCAATATGCACGCTCGACCATCACGCCAAAGTAACAGCTGCTGGTAAGAAGTTTGAGATCCAACTTTATTTACGAGATAAATGAATAATTTTTTGCCAACATTTGAACCATATCAAAGAGGTTGGTTTTAGTGAATCATCAAATTCTATTCGACCTTCACACATCTTACTTTGTCATTTATTTATCATTATTATTAGTCCTTTCGGTTCCTAGTAGAACACAGGGCTTCAGTAACACGTCTCCATTCCACTCTGTTCTCTGCAATCTTTTCAACCTGGCTCCACCATTGCCCACAAGCTTTCATTTCTTCCTCACATGATCTCCTCCTTGTCACCTTCGCCTCAGATGCCCTACTCGTCGTTCCCCCTCGAGCTCCACTCAAAGACCTGACATGACCTGGCCTGACCTGGCCGAGTGAGTGAGTGATGTCCTCAGCCGGTCTTCACAGTGTATGTCCAATCCAATCCCTCTCCAACTTTCTCCTGAATATTTGTTAGGCAATAGGTTGTTGGTTGGTTCGTTGCCAGGCCAGAGTTCTTTGCCGCTTATTCTTTCTGGCCATCTGATCTTCAGCATCGAGCATAGGAGGCAACTGTTGATGAAGTATGTCTGTAGTTTGTTGGAAATGCTTTTCGTAACACGCGAAGTCTCTTAACCATCAACATAGAAGCAATGACTTGACATTAGTGATTTTGTCACTAGAGGACACTTTTCTATGACTAACATATTGAAGGAGTATAAATTTTATGCAAAAGTAAAATGACAGCATATGAGCCACAGCAACCAAAACACAACGTGATTATTAGGAACTGACACCGACAAAAGTCCAGGTTGTCACGCTTCACAACATTACTGAAACAGTAAGCGGTAAGGTATTTAAAATAAATGAGGATGATAAAGAGTATAGACTAAAAAATACTGAAATCTCTGAGGGTGAAGAATTAATTCATGTACACTGCTACAATCGATTTGAAGCAACATCATCTAGGATCCTGAAAATAATGAAACCACCCACCTTACTTCTTAGAGTATCACATCTTTGTTGAAGGATAGGTATAAGAGTGACGGCAGAATCAGAATTCATCACGCAGAAAAGTTACTCGTGCTACCAGGATTCCAGTGAGCAGAATATATGCAGTAGCTGAAGAAGAAAATCTAAACAAAATAAGATGATTGAGTATGAAATTTTAGCAGTTTTGTATCTGAACTTGTAAAAACTGAGCATATAACAACCACGCAAATAACTTGAAAGACCCTTAGAAATATAGACTGAATTTACAATATAAAATGAAGATTATGAAGCTATTAATCAACTTTTCACCGAATACTCAAGCTCTGCGAACTGCAAACTTTCTAAGCAACTAATCAATTTATTGCTATTAAATCGTTTTCGTTGTTTTTACATACGCACTTTTTACTATTACCATTTCCACTTTTTTCTTCGTCTTTATTTGACTCGGCTGGTCTCCACTGCTCAGACTTCTGGTCTCTCTGTACCGTTTTGAATCGTTTAACAATAGCTCCTATAAAGCTGTCCTCCAGTGAGACATCTTATATAGCTATCCTTCAACGTTCACACCTTGCAGATTGGACAACAGGCAGGTTTGGCTAGGACTCTGGAAAGCCTCTCTATTGATGTTTGTTGCATCTCAGAGACCCATATACAAGACCACAGTGAAGTGCTTCAAATTAGTTCATCAGTAAGCTCGAAAAGTATGGTTCATGTGCGCTTATCCGGGAACCATGTGGAATCGGCAACCGGCGTCGCTGGTGTCGGTGTCGCACTAAGCGCTCGAGTCAAAGCTGCACTACTCGACTGGATCGCCATCAACAGTCGTCTGTGTGCTGTTAGACTAGAAGGTTCAAATCCAGTAAGAAGTAACCGGCAAGAGAAACTATGTCACTTAGTCATCTCTGCCTATGCTCCGATGGATCACAGCCCGGATGCAACCAAGGATGAACTCTATCATCAACTGAGTGACCTTCTTAACCAAATGCGCTCGGCAGATATCGTAGTACTGGTTGGGGACTTAAATGTGCAGGTCGAGCGTCTAACCTCGGAAAAGAACCGTTTAGGTGGACAATGGGTACTAGTTAGCCGCAGGTTGAATAATGGGGATCGGCCTCTGCAGCTTTGCGCAGATCACAACCCATTTCTAGCCAGCACCAACTTCCGGCACAGCCATCGCCGTTGTGCTACTTGGCGTCCTCCCTCTACCACTCAAGCCTGACACAAATAGATCATATCGCAATCAGCTACCGATGGCGTGGGTGCATACAGGACTGCCACTCGATATGGAGTACTTGTCCACACTCGTCATCATAATCGTCTTGAGTTTTGTTGTTCGAAATCGTCGTCCTAAACAGGTCGAAGGAAGCCAATTAGTCGCATCTAAAATTGCAGCTAAATACCAATCCCAGCTACCAATGCCAGCTACCGATCTGGCAGAAAGTGTAGACGAGGACTGGCTGCAGTAGCGAGACGTCATGAAAATGGCGAGTAAAGCCGTTTGCGGCTTGGAAGAACGTCCCGCAAATGAACACTGGGTCTTTGCAACTTCTTGACCCCCGTCGGACCATTTCAACGGAGAGGGAGTACAATGGCCTCTTACGCAAAAGATTACACAACGCTTACGCAAGGACCGTGATGCTTGGTGGTCAGAACGTGCGAGCGAGATGGAAGTAGCAGCTGCACCTGCCAACAGTCGAAAGCTGTTCCAGCTCATCCGAGCCACTGGTAGCAAGAAGCCAGGTGCCAATGAGATAGTCTGTGAGGTAGATAGTAAGCCGATAAACAAAGACGCCTGGAACGCTGGGAGGAACACTTAGAAAAGCACTTTGGCTGGCCCACGGCTCTAGCATGAGCAGTACATGTTTAAGCCATCTCAGTCGAATAAGGTTCACAACCTTATCAATCAACTTGCTTGTCTTGCCTAGGATCCTTCGTCTTACCTCATTTCTCACACGGTGATTCCGCCAAACGTGAGCAACGTTACGAAGACACCTATGATCAAAACCCTGCAACCACTTCATGTCGGCTACTTTTAACGGCCACATCTTACAACCATACAACAGGACAAAGTGAACTGCGACAAAGTATACTTTTCCTTTGATAGATAGTTGGGTATCTCGCCAGTCGGCGCCATAGGTGACGAAAGTTGGCAAGTCCCAAATGCGCCTTGTGTATCCGAGCTTAGATTTCGTCAGCAACCAACCCCTTCGGGCTGATGCAGCTTCCCAAGTAAGTGAGTCGGTTGACACATTCCATAACTTCCCTCTCCACTGTTAAACTGGGAGTACTTTCGGCAGATCAGCCCCGGAGCATCATCTTACATTTGATAGGTGAGAAACGCAATCCAAATATATTCAGATTTCTCCTCAGCGCGTTCAAAACATCCTGCATTTCATCAGCGTCTTCACCTGGCAGAACAACATCATCTGCTTACTCCAAACCAACCAGATAACTTCTGTGGGGAAGTCAGTCCCTGTAAAGTCAGATGTACCTAAGGTTATTTCCATTAGTACGTCTATAACGAAGTTGAATAGGAACGGTGAGTGGGCAGGCATCCTTACTGAACACCACTGGTTTTCGTTAATTCACATGACAACTCTACACGGCTGCGTGAGTTCGAACGAAGAACTTTGGCTAGCGTTGTATGCTTGTTCCGTTCTGCTTTCACAGTCAGACACTGCCACAACACCTCACGGTCGACAGAGTTAAATGCCCCCTGCCTTCAGGTCAATAAATGTGGCAAGTGTCGGCTGCCGGTAGGTATCCCTGTGTCTCAGAACCCGTCATAGGTTGAAAATATGATCGATGCACTCTCTTCCAGCTTTGTCTGAAACCTGCCTGGTTTCCTCGAGTTCGCTTTTCTCGAGCTCCAGTTAGGCGTCGGATAACTATGGACCCTAAGATCTTGAACACAATGTCAGTCAGACCGAATCCCCTTTTGTTGTCACAAGAAGACTGGGATGATCAGTGAAGTGCAACAGCCTGATGGCACTACCTCTGATTCCCATACAATAACTAGTACCTCCATCACTCTAAGCAGGGAATTTCTACCTCCATACTTGAAAACTTCAGCTGGCAAACTGTCAGGTCCTGATGCTTTGCATCGTTCCAGGTTCAAAACAGCTTTCTCAACTTTAAGGAGAGTTGATGGACTGATATATTGGTCACATTCAGGTTCATACCGTATGTTGGCCAAGGAAAGCGTTGCTGAGGATCAGTTCAACTGTGCTTCAGTGTTCTGCCTAACGTTCTAGCCACCTGTTGTGGGAGGTTATCAGCGTCCCATTTCTTTTGGTTCCACTCACTAACATCATGCCGGTATCTTAAATAAGCCTAAATATTTGCCGTGTTACCCAATGCTGATGCCTTGTCCATCTTTTTCGCTCTCGCCACCCACCACTGCTCGCGGTCGACGCGAAGACTCTTGATAGACTGATGTTTGAGTTGCTTTCTCACTTCATCGTGATCAGAGCCAGCTGGAATCAGTTTTCTCGCATCAATCGGTTGGAATGAAGTCGCGGAAATCCAATGACATTTGCTCACCGGGTGTAGGTTACCATTTTTTACCGCTGTTTCTACAGCAAACTTAATATCACGCTACGCCAGGCCTTCTTAGGATGAGCATCGCTCAGCTATATCTTACCTAACTTTGAACTTGATGTTATTATCTTCCAATCGACCACACAAGCTTCCCTGCCGCCTTTTCCTGAGACCAGTAAGGTGAAGACATACACCAGCCTGTACTGGCGCGAGATCGGAGTCAAAACAAGTACTTCAGAAAGAGCTGCAATCATCCAACGATCCGTTTCAACGATGGTTTATAGTGATATGATCTACCTGTGTTCTTTGTTGCTTTGATATCGGTGGATGTCATGTGAAACAGCGTCTCTTTTTATGCCTAAAGTTAATGCTGGCCAGAAACAAGTGGTTGTCAGAGCAAAATTGCAACAGACGATCACCCTTGTCGGTTTGTTGGCATGAAATCCTATAAATACCTCCCAGATGCCTCTTCGATTGGCTCAGCTTCCTTACTTGAGCGTTAAAATCACCTGCTATTATGACTACATCTGAACGATTTGTTTGCTGCAGCAAAATTGGCAGCTTTTCACAGAATTTATCCTTTGCATCATCAAAACTGCAGTCGGTGGGTGCGTAGGTCGAGAGTACGAACAGACATCGCCTAGTCTCACGATCTTTCCTAGTCCTTATAAATCCATTCAGCCGAACAGCACATAGATGGCTTTTTACTGGCAACCATTCCAGAAGAGCACTTTCTGCTCTACAACCAGAGAGTGCACTAGAGTTAGCTATGGGGCCTCCGGATACCCTTAAGGTGAATTTTGAAGACTCACTACTATGACCAGATGACGTTAACTTAATAACCACACTCAGGTCCGATATACGTGTCTTAAAGATACAGCACACATTCATGACTAGATATTCCTTAGTTCTAGGGAGCGATGCTTGTTGTCGGGTTCGGGATAGAGTTTGAACGTTGAAAGCTCCTACATAAAATCGATGACCGAGTCTTAGGTGACTAGGAATGAGGTTACGATGGCTTTGACTGTTGACAAAGTTTGAAGAGTGAGAGGTTGGGTAAGGCGTAATAGGCTTAATATCAGTATCAAGAGGTGAAGATAAAGGAGATAGATCTGAGGAGGATAGGTCGCGTTTGATTGGTTCTTGTGTGCTACTGGAAGCGTGTGGGCGGTTGACACCTTCCGACTGTCCATACCGTGGAAAGCTATTTCTCCTTAAAGTACCTGAAATAGAAAAAGATTTGCGACCGCAGAGCCCATGGGACATCTGCTTGAGGCTTGTCACACACAGCCCTTTGTAGGTTGTTGCTTTGAGGTTTCGTTGTTCTAACGCCAGGTAGAGAACCCGTACCATCGTAGCGGGAGACTGTGATGCATGATGAAGGCTTATTTTGGGGGCTGATCTTTTCTACCCCGTCCCCTTGCTTTGAGAAGGCAGCATTAGCGTGGCAATGCTAGTCATCCAAGAGAAACACCTTACTGCTGTCACACCTCATCCAACTAACAGTAGTACGACTTTACACTCAGACACCA